AGAGAAGAATTATGACTTACTCCTCTTATGTGATACAATGGAGAAAGTAGCCAATATGGATAGAAATAATATATTTGTCCCTAAGAAGAGAAACAATACCTCTTCAGATTTCTTTTTCCTTTTGTTTTTAATTACAGTGCCCAATCCAATTTTATAAAGAAGGCAATTTACAAACATTGGGATTTACTAAAACAAGATCAAGTTTTATCCTCAATTTTGCCATCAAAACCCAAGATCATTTTAGGGGGGCTGCCACATTGAAGGACAAACTGGTATGTAGCTATACCAGACCATCTCCTGAGAAACATTTTTTTAAATTCTTATACAGGCTTTTATAAATGTGGTACATGTAACATCTGCAAAACAGTAGGTCCACCATTTGGAAAAATTTGCAAACCGCACATTACTGTACCACTTTAAAACTCATCATGCAAGTAATCCAGCCTCTTTAACTTACTCTGAGATACAACGGGTTAAAATTCCATGGAATTTTCCTGAATAAAAGTCTAATATACTCAAGAGAATAAAGCATATAACAAAACGGATACAAAACAATATAGGAGAGAATCACCTAATAAGTACACCAGAAGAGACAAATATGACATCAACACAAAATGGCACAGTAAACAAACCCCTAGTCCAACAAGACATAAATCATTCCGGAGGCAAAGAGACCAAGACATTAGAAGGCAGAGAACTCAAACCCCAAGGATAGTGGTCCTTCCAAAAGACAAATATATACAGGAAGCAGAGAGGATCCTCTCCGACGAATTTGAAGAATACATTAAAAAAGGCCTAGATAAAAAGATCCCTACTGCAAGTGAAGCAAAATACCTCGCAACCCCTCACCCATGATTACCGGTCTTTTACCACCTTCCTAAGGTGCATAAGAATAGAGAAAAACCTCCAGGAAGACCCATTATATCGGGTATAAATTCAGTCTCAGCAAAGATCTCTACACCACCTTCTCCAACCAATAGTTGTTAAGAATCCAGCTTATTTGAAGGATACTATTCATATTTTACAAATATTGGAGGCTGTTGCATGGAAAGAGGAATATCAACTGGTTAAATGTGATGTCACATGTCTTCACAGTATAATACCGCATGAAATAGGATTAAAAGCTATTCAACACTTTTTAACGAAATCCAGTTTCAAAGAAGACTGAATAAAATACATCCTTGAGGGAATACATTTAATTTTAACTAATAACTTTTTTTGGGGGGGAAATACATTCTACCTCCAAACCTGCGGAACAGCGATGGGCACCAAATTTGCTCCAAGTTATTGTCACGGTTCACGCCGTGACATCCAGTCTGCCAGACGTGGTCGCTCCGGAAGCGTCCGATAGAGGGTTTGAACTGCGGTTGTTCTACACCGTATCCTGCTATTTTCCCTCTGAGCCATTTCAGGACTTTGGATAACTCCTGTTTATTCTTGTATTGCCTGCAGCACTAGGGGGCTGGACTTCACCAAAGGCTCTGATCTGTCAGTAACTATCCAGCTGAATCTGATGCCTAATTAACAAGGTATAAAAGCCTGCCTCACCCTGGGAGGGGTGTCAGTTCATTGACTCTGGTTCCCTTGTTTGGTTCCTGTTACTCCGTACCTGCGTTCCAGTGATTCCTGTCTAATTCCGGCTTCTGACCTTGGCTTTCCTCCTGGACTACTCTGACCTCTGGCTTCCCTGATTTTGGCTTCCCTTGACCACGCTTCTGCTAATCCCTGCTGTACTGAGTCTTGGAGCACTTTTCCTGGAAAGCCCCCGTGCACAGACTCACAGGCCAGGTGGCGTCTTACCTGGTCACCCTGGTCTGTGTCTACTTTGCAAGGGTGAGCGTATAACTCTGCGAGCTGGACTCCCTATCAGGTAAGACTCCGTTACAGATGAACTGACCAATGGAGTCCGCAGAGTTATACAAATTACTCACCTCCCTGGCCGAGCAAGTCTCCAACCTGTCCCAGAATGTTACAGAATTGCAGAGACATTCATTGGCATTTAAAGGAGCAACGCTTCCAGTCCCGGAACATGTATGCCCAGAACCGTATGTCTTTATGCCTGACAGGTTCGACGGTTCCCGTTCTGCTTTTCCGATGTTCAAGACGGATTGTGAGCTACTATTTGCCCTGAAATCGAGAACCTACGCCACCGACTTCATCAAAGTACGCTCCGCTATTAACCTATGTACCGGGCGGATTAAGGCGTGGGCACACCAGAAGTTGCAGGAGAGAAGTACTGTCTTGGACTCCTGGGAGTTGTTTATGTCCGCAATGGATTCTCAGTGTTTTGCAGCGAGAAAAGCAACTTCCAAGCCTACTTCAGGTTCTCGCAGAACCCGGTTGCCGAGAGAAGAGGAATTGTTTTATGGATACAAAAATCCCATCATGTTGCAGCATGAACCCACTTTCAGGGACCCGCCTTGTAACCCTGTTTACACTCGAGCTAGCAGTGAAACTCCAGTCGACATGGAGGAACCCATGGAGATTGGCTTCACCAGAACTGGATTGCCCCCAAAGGAAAAAGACCGCAGGAGAGCCCATGGTCTATGTCTATACTGTGGGAAAAGAGGGCATTTCATATCGCTCTGCCCGACTCGTCCACTTAGGACAAGACCCCTTCTGTCTGGTGCCATTTGGACTTACCCTGTCATCCCAGTAAGACAGCCTGGACACTGCCAGCCCTGTCCCCGTCCTGTGACACAAAAGGGTACCCAAACTGCTACAGTTAATGTTACCAGTACCTCTGTGGAAACTTCACCTCTTGCTCTAGAAATATTTGGACCTCTTCCTGATGACACTTCTGTTCAAGCAAGCACCATCACCACTTCCTGCCTTGCCAAAACAGTTCTGCCTCCTGACTGCACCTATGCCTCAAATGGCACAGTTGTGTGTAAACAAGATCTAGAAGTATTCGAAAAAGCTTTGAAAGCTGCAAATGCCTCCCCTATAGCACCCGAAACCGGTACCATAAAATCCCAGGTCGTAAAAGGATACCTTAATTATAAAGACTATCTTAGTGATACTGATACCGAAGATGAGGAGTACCATTTCCAGGAAGAGCCTATTCACGCCCGGAGGGCGTTCTTGACGGGGGGGTACTGTCACGGTTCACGCCGTGACATCCAGTCTGCCAGACGTGGTCGCTCCGGAAGCGTCCGATAGAGGGTTTGAACTGCGGTTGTTCTACACTGTATCCTGCTATTTTCCCTCTGAGCCATTTCAGGACTTTGGATAACTCCTGTTTATTCTTGTATTGCCTGCAGCACTAGGGGGCTGGACTTCACCAAAGGCTCTGATCTGTCAGTAACTATCCAGCTGAATCTGATGCCTAATTAACAAGGTATAAAAGCCTGCCTCACCCTGGGAGGGGTGTCAGTTCATTGACTCTGGTTCCCTTGTTTGGTTCCTGTTACTCCGTACCTGCGTTCCAGTGATTCCTGTCTAATTCCGGCTTCTGACCTTGGCTTTCCTCCTGGACTACTCTGACCTCTGGCTTCCCTGATTTTGGCTTCCCTTGACCACGCTTCTGCTTATCCCTGCTGTACTGAGTCTTGGAGCACTTTTCCTGGAAAGCCCCCGTGCACAGACTCACAGGCCAGGTGGCGTCTTACCTGGTCACCCTGGTCTGTGTCTACTTTGCAAGGGTGAGCGTATAACTCTGCGAGCTGGACTCCCTATCAGGTAAGACTCCGTTACAGTTATGCCAATTTGTTCATGGCATATTGGGAAGAACAATTCGTATACCAAGGACATGCTTGGGTAGCGAATTTGGTGACCTATCGCCGTTACATTGAGGATATATTTTTCATCTGGACAGGGACAATGACAGACCTAAAGGCATTCTTAAAATACCTTAATGAGAACAATTGGAACATCATTTTATTCTCACAATTCAGCACCTTAGAGATCAATTTTTTAGATATTAATATCAGTATTCAGGAATCCTGTATTATCACAAAAAAAACTATTTCAAAGATGTCGGTGCCAACTGATATATAGACAAAAATAGCTGTCATCATACCCCATGGCTCATTAATGCTCCAAAAGGCCAATTCCTAAGGATTCTGAGAAATTGTACAAGTGATGAGGACTATTCAGGCAGAAAAGGATAAAAACCCAATTCTTGGAAAAAGGATATGAGAAGGAAAAATTACAAGGGGCTTTGGAAGAAGTTAAAACGATCCCAAGGAAAGAACTACTTAAGTACAAAAAAAAAAAGACCATAGAAAAATGGAAAAGTAATGATGTCCCCTTTCTCTGTAATTATAATAACAACAAAAAAAAGATACACAGAGAAATAGGCAACTAATGGCATATTTTACAAGATGATCCAATCCTCAAATTAATCTTACCACCAAAACCTAAATTAATATATAGAGGAGCAAGGAATCTAAAGAGCACGTAAATCGACAGCAGTTTAAAACCAATAATCCCAAAGAATAGTTTCCTAATTCAAAGTGCAGGATTCTACGGATGCGGCTCTTGCCTAGCTTGCAGAACAACAAAAAACAAAAAAAGACATATGACAGATTTAAACCCGTACATAAATAGAAAGTTCACAATCAAAGATCACTTAACGTGCTGCTCCAAGGAAGTAATTTATGCACTTAAATGCCCTGTAATCTGGTATACGTAGGGAGAACGATTCGCTGTATTAACATGGGGGCTGGGAAAAGGGAAAAAGGCTGGAGTCACACAGCGTCACTGATCATTTTAAACAATGTCACAACCAAAATCCAGAAGGGCTATTCTTCTGTGCCATAAAACTAGTTTAAAAAGATTGGAGAGGAGGTGACTATAACAAAAAAATAGGAATGGAAGAGAGAAATTCATTTTTAATTTTAATATAATGATCCCCCACGGTCTGAACCAAGATTTCAAACTATGCCACTTAATGATTTAAATCTCTCAAGAATGAAAATGTATTTTTTTACTGTTTTAATGTAGATATTTCCACTATTACCTATTAATTTTAGACTTTTATGTATTATTACTTGTAGGTTCACTTGCAACCTATTTTTGGTGCCAATTCATCGCTGCATGGCCTCAACAACTGCCACGTACATCAGGTTTCCAGTTCCGAGGATCACATGATTCCATTCCGAATCTGGAAGCCGTCCGTTCGGCACCCCCAGGCACATATGAAGATATCTGGTGCCATACTGGATAAGAGGTTGTGGGTTCATAGACTTATAGATATGTAAAAGATATATAGAAAGTAACTTATTAACAAATGGCAGTAAACAAACATATTGCAGTCAAGAGGAGCCCCTCTATGGATGCAAATATTGTAAAAAATATATATATACATACAAGCTCCAAGAAAATGTATTTAAAAAGAAAATTAATAATAAATAAAAATATGCCCCAAATGTTTTTTTTAACCAATGGAAAAAAAAATCTATTAAAGCTATCCTGCATGCATAATTGGGGCACCGTTCACAACCAGTATAACATAAATTCAGGCAAAAATTTATCTTTTGAAACTTTAGCAAGCTCAAAATCCAAATTAAGACCTTCAAGGGCAAGGGTATTCATATTAACCTCCGGTCCACCTGTGCTCCTTCTCTGCTTTTTGTTGATTTGCTCTGTTTGGGGACATTTCTCCAAGCAGGGCAAATTTCCTCCATGATGCCAAGTTGCCAACACACTGGCTTCATTGTCAGCATCACTTAACTCCGTTCCTCTACTCTCTTGCCAATGATATCAGCGCCGAATAGTGAGTTACTATAGCACTCACAGCATATGAGCTGTGGTTGCTACGGGTGGAAAGCAGAGGGATGTCCTGTGGGAGGTATCCTCTGATCTCACTGGCTTTCAATTCCTCAGCATTGAGTGTCTGCTCAGGAATTGAGAGACATATAGGAGAAAAATCTATTTTTAAAAACCGCTAGTACAATGTATAGATGGAATTTTAAGCTGTTTTAAAAGACCTAAAGTCAATGGGCATATGACAAGTTCCCTTTATAAATCTATCTGGCCTAATTCACCCAGCTCATTAAAATTGTCCCTTCCCTTCCAGTTTTTCTTTTTTCTATTTATAGCTGCAAAGGACAACAGGGACGTATGGGATTGGGCAAAATGGGCTAAAATACTGCGTTTATCATATTTCTTTGCATATTTTAAATATGATCAGTCAGTTTCATCTTTAGTGCAGTTGTGGTCATACCAATATAATAGAGGCCACGAAGGCACCAAAGGAGATACACCACATTAGTTGTGATGCATATAAAAAGTGAAATATGAGCAGACCTCACTTTGTCTCGATTTTCTAAAACCTGACTTTCTATACGGCCTCACTGTCTACATGGGAAAATCCTACTTAGTCACCAGAAGGGCTAGCTTTTCTTTGTTCTTCGTGGGTTTATTCATTTATTTGTCTTTTTCAAAATTGACCGACCTCACACACTGAACTCATGGAACTATTTTGGGCAGGAGCCTCGAGTGTGGTCGGTGAACTAAGACTTCCATACTTTTTGAGAACCCCTGAACCGATCTGGGTGAAATTTGAATATGTTGGTCTCCCAGATTTGTGGAGATACCATGTGTATAAAGGGGTGTTTTAAGTTTTGGGAAAATTGTGTGCCCTTTGATTGGAGATAATTGGGTTATTCCTTAACTTATTTCATTATCTCCCAGGCAGAGGAAGGGAGTGGTTTACTGTAAATCTGTATTATGATTGGTTGTCACATTTGTTTGCTGTAGGAGGTCGTCTTGCAGGAGGATTTCCATAAAAGCCAGTGTGGCATCAATAAAACATTATTCCTGTTGTACCCTTCGTGAAATCTAGGCTCATGCTTGGGTAACCTTTTAATTACTGGGGAGATTCGTCTTGGAAGCTGCATTCAACTCTACTATTCCTCTACACCCTAACTGTAGCTATAATCACTTATGCTCAGCTATCGGGAAAGGAATAGAAGAACTCAGTACCATAACCACTGCGGTTCTTAACACATGTCTGGAAAGATGAAGGGTGCGTCTGGATTCCAGCGACAGCCAGTTTAGTTATTTTAGCATGTTACAATGGTGGGTCCTGTAATTACATTGTAGCACAAATCGGCAGAACAAGTGCAGGTGCATATAGTACATCCCCATAATCAATGATTGGCAACAGCATTTGCTGTACAATTTTTTCCTAGCCTGTAGGGCTTAGGCAGGATTTGTTTCTGTACAGGGCACCTAGTTTTGGATAAAGTTTACATGCAAGTTTTCTATGTGGAGGCCAAAAGATAGATTGGGGTCTAACAACATACCCAAGTATTTGAAAGAATGAACTGCAGTCAGTCTGCTATTTGATTTTGTTTTGATGCATAGATTGGAATTTTGTAATTTGTGTAATTTAGGTACTATTCCAAAGATCATTGTGACCGTTTTGTCAGTGTTTAGGAACAGTTTGATTTTTGCGATCCACTTTTCTACCTCTGTGAACTGGTCTTGGAGCACAGACTCAAGCTGTGGTAAATCAGATTTGCTTGCATAGATTACTGTGTCGTCTGCGTACATGTCTACATTTGAGGATTTGCAGTCATTAGGCAGATCATTTATAAATAATGTGAATAGTAAGGGGCTGAGAATGGAACATTGGGGAACACCACACGTGACATGGAGAGATATTGAGACGCTGTCAGAAATGGGCACATATTGTGATCGATCCGATACATATTATCGAAACCAGGTTAGCAGATGATCACCAATACCTGAGTTTTTGAGTATGTGCAGTAGAATGTCGTGGTCTACTGTGTCAAAGCCCTTTGCAAAATCAAGGAAAATAACTCCAGTTAGGTCTCCTTGTTCCATGCCAGCTTGGATGTCATTGCAAACCTTTAAGAGGGCAGTTGTAGTGGAGTGATTCGGGAGAAAACCTGATTGATGAGGGGTCAGATAGTTATATTGTTGGTAATACTCACATAGTTGCATAGGGACACAATTTCTAAGATTTTTGACAATACTGGGAGCAATGATATTGGACGATAGTTAGAAACCAAAGTAATGTCACCACGTTTATGGATAGGCACTACTCTCGCAGTCTTCCAAAGTTTGGGTATGTATCCAGACACCAAGGATTCGTTAATTAGGGTTGTGACAGGTTTAGCAATTGCTGGCACACTGAGCTTCAACAGCATTGCTGGGATTTGATCAGGTCCAGATTGTTTTTTTTATTTAGGTGTTTCTTAATGACACTAATGGGTACAGGTCTAAAATTGAACTTGTCTCTACTTGGTCTTTGCAAATTTAGTGAGGCCTGATCCACATTTGTAGTTTCAGGATGTGTGCTATTTATTAGCTTGGCAATCAGGATGGTGGAGCATCTGACAAAAAAACTGTTAAAGGCATTTGCTACTTCTAGGGTTTAAGATGTTATTGTTCAGATTTTCACAGAAATATTGGGCCTTGGCCAATCTTGTTTGTTTAGTGCATAGATTTTGCCATTGTCTAATGCACAGTGATTGTTCATAGAGCCAGAATGCTTGAACTTTGACCACAATGAAACTGGTACATTTGAATAAGGTCAGCTGTGATCCAATTGATATGTGCCCCTTTTTTCTCTCACCTTACGCAGCGGGGCATGCAAATGTAATACTTGTAGGAGTTTAGACTGAAATAATTCAACAGCACAGTCTAGATCTGGGATTAGGTTTAATCTGTGCCATGGGAGGTTCTTGATGTAATTTACAAAGGATTAAAAATTAAATTTTTTGAAGGACCTGGTGATTTTAACCTTGGGAGAGTATTTTCGTAGCCTTTATTTTGCGCACGCAGTACACTAAGCAGTGGTCACTGAAACTGTTAGGGAGAACACCTGCCTCCTGGATTCTATCAGGAGAAGTGGAGAGAATCCAATCTAGCAGGGTATGGTTATGACTTTTAATGTTAATGCAAGTTGGGGAGGAGATTAATTGCGTTAGCTGCAAAATCTTAAGCAGTGATCAAGAAATATTATTTTTAGGATTCAGCCAATCAATATTAATATCTCCAAAGACCAACAGTTCACTTATTGGGTTTTAATGGTAGGCGTATTTTAACAGTGAGAGATAGAATAACAAAACAAAATCCAGAAAAACGCAAAAAAGTTATAAATTGATTTGCATGTCAATAGTGAAATAAGAATTTGACCCCTTTGACTTAGTACTTGGTGGCAAAACCCTTGTTGGCAATCACAGAGGTCAGACGTTTCTTGTAGTTGGCCACAAGGTTTGCACACATCTCAGGAGGGATTTTGTCCCACTCCTCTTTGCAGATCCTCTCCAAAACCACCCCCAAAGCATAATGTTTCCATCTCCATGTTTTACAATGGGGATGGTGTTCTTGGGGTCATAGGCAGCATTCCTCCTCCAAACATGGCGAGTTAAGTTGATGCCAAAGAGCTTGATTTTGGTCTCATCTGACCACAACACTTTCACTCAGTTCTCCTCTGAATCATTCAGATGTTCATTGGCAAACTTCAAATGGGCCTGTACATGTGCTTTTTTGAGCAGGGGGACCTTGCAGGCGCTGCAGGATATCAGTCCTTCATGGCGTAGTGTGTTACCAATTGTTTTCTTGGTGACTATGGTACCAGATGCATTGAGATCATTAACAAGATCATCCCATGTAGTTCTGGGCTGATTCCTCATTGTTCTCATGATCATTGAAGCTCCATGAGGTGAGATCTTGCATGGAGCACCAGACCGAGGGAGACTGACAGTTATTTTCTGTTTCTTCCATTTGCGAATAAACGCACCAACTGTTGTCACCTTCTCACCAAGCTACTTGGCAATGGTCTTGTAGCCCATTCCAGCCTTGTGTAGGTCTACAATCTTGTCCCTGACATCCTTGGACAGCTCTTTGATCTTGGCCATGGTGGAGAGTTTGGAATCTGATTAATTGCTTCTGTGGACAGGTGTCTTTTATACAGGTTACGAGCTGAGATTAGGAGCACTCCCTTTAGGAGAGTGCTCCTAATCTCATCTCGTTACCTGTATAAAAGACACCTGGGAGCCAGAAATCTTGCTGATTGATAGGGGATTATTCTGTCTCTCACTGTTAAAATACACCTACCATTTCTTTGTCAGTGGGCAAACGTTAAAAATCAGCAGGGGATCAAATACTTTTTCCCCTCACTGTAGGACTATATCACTCTCCTAGCAGCAAATGTATTTTCCCTTACATAAATGGTAATATCACAGAAAA